CCTGGTGTGATTACTGTTTCAAAACTACTTTACTTAGATTACCCTGATGTTAGTGTCCTGGTGTGATTACTGTTTCAAAACTACTTTACTTAGATTACCCTGATGTTAGTGTCCTGGTGTGATTACTGTTTCAAAACTACTTCACTTAGATTATCCTGATGTTAGTGTCTTGGTGTGATTACTGTTTCAAAACTACTTTACTTAGATTACCCTGATGTTAGTGTCTTTGTGTGATTACTGTTTCAAAACTACTTTACTTAGATTACCACATTTTTACAGTACCAGAACTAGTTTACTGTCTGTTCTAGTTACATTAATTTGAGGCCTCAGCTTGTAAATGAGCAAGATATTTAATTTTGAGACTGTTCATCATTGGTCCTTGCCGAGATCTTAGATTAACATATTCTTTCACTTGTGTTAACGGTTTTCTTTTAGTAGAACGAATTCTGACAATGATGACTATAATGGAGGAATCTGATTCTTAAATAAAAAACAACAAAAACTGTGAACTTCATACTTCTATGTCTTCAGACGTTAAAATTGGGAAGGTTGATCCGAATTTTGAAAGATCATGAAAGTGTCGTAAACTTAGAGAAGTTTAGGTTATTTTAGTCAATTGTCCAACCACTGTTTTTCATGAGAACACAATAATATATTGGCCAAAGATGGTACCAATCTCAAACCCATAGCATCACCATCAAAGTGGCAAAGTTTGTTAATTTCAGAAACATAGATTTCACAATTGTCATGTTATTGGAATTGTTCTTGCAAATCAAATAAACACCATATTTTACAGCATGTAAGATGCACCCATATTTTAGTAAAGAATATTTAGGGAAAAAAAACATTTGAGTGTATCAAAGCATTTAGTGTTTACTCCAAATAACATCAATCATAAAACATGAAATCTGCAACATATTAAATCAAAGTTACATAAGAAATTTTTCAGTAAAACAGCATGGTAAAGAGCAAAAAACATAGTTTTTCTATTTAAAAAAAAGCTTTAATTATCTAAATATCCAGCAAAATCTTCATCACTACTGCTTATGGATAGTGAATTTTTGCTATCTTTGATTAATACATCATATTCAGTTCCATTAGGACATTACTAATGCCAAATTTTTTAAAGCTAATAAAAGATGTCATAACAGCATAGTACTATATAGTGACATCTGCTATACACCAATTCACAATCGAAAGTAATCTGTTGCTAAGCAACCGTTTTTTATGTCCTTTAATAAGACTCTTATAACCAATGGAAAGAGCAGAATTCATCGTTAGTCTCTCCATGGTAAGGAGACATAGGAAGTGGATTATTTTTCATATTTCTGTTGGTGTTTGTTGTGGATGTCGGTGTCCCCATTGAGTAAACTGTACTGGCCTGATGTCAGGGTGTCTTTTGTACGTGAGAAGTTTAAGAACTGTTATAAACAGTATAAACACTTACTGCTTAGCCCTGAAGAACCAGGTGAACTGCTAATCATCTTGGACTTGTATTATCTATTATAAATCCACTCATATTTAGCAAATTTCTTCATTAATTATAAGCCTATTTTTGTATAGATTAATTTTATATTTTAATGTACAGTTGTTTGGGAAAAGGCTAGGTAGAATTTAGCTTAAGGGGGGAAACTGAGAGATTAATTTTATTTGACTTCATGTATTAGATGCAGGATGATTTTTAGTAGCTTTTTCAGGAAAAAATGTGTGTCTTACATGCTGTAAAATACGGTAACTGTATAGTTTCTCGTAAAATATATTTGTATATAATGGTTCTACATCAGATCAGGCACTTACTATGGTTACATTACTTGTCAAACTTCAACTGTTTAACTTTTGAGAAAACTCAAATTATTTTTTATGTGATATTTATGTATGGTAAACAGGCTAAAGCATGGTTGTAGGTTCCAAAGTTGAGAACTAGAGACATTTTTTTCTCGTGAATTTTAGATACATTACTGGATGACTATCTGATAGTCTAATGTTAATATATGGTATTTCATTAGGAATATTATTTTTCTTTAATTTCATTAAGTATCCATACAGCTTAGCTTCCATTTTATCAGTAGGATCATAATTCAGCTTAACAAATTTAGAAGAATCACTTACTATGGTTTCTTTAAGTAATTATATTTATTTAATATTTTAATATTACTTCCTTTATTGAACTTAGAAATGTGTCATTTTTACTTAAATTCTTTATAACTGTAAATTAATCAGGACTTAAATTAATAAAATTGTTATTGTTATATAGTTATTGAAAACAATTAAAACTATACCACTGGTGTGACTTCTAATAATACTAAACAATTTATCAGATTTAGACCAGATAGGTTGATGTAACGATGATTACAAAAACTGTACAAATTCTTTAAGAGTTGAAAATTGTAAACCTAATTGAAAACAACTTTTTAAGTGATGTTTTCGTAGCTCAGCTCGGTGTTATTTAATATATACGTATATTAATTACATGACACCTTTATTAAAGATTAAGTTGTTCTTTAGTAAACACTTTTTCTTAGTTTCTTTTTTTGATTACATTATTATAGGTTCTTCATCAAATCAAACATTGTATTAACTTTATTATATTAAAGGCATTCTGTAGACAGTTTTCAATTGTCATTGTATCTTGCTTTTTTCTGCAATTAATCATTATTACAGGTTTTTTTTATACGTGTTTTAGGGCATTAGCCTTAAACTGTGCTGCTGTTTTGAATGCTAAGACAGGCGCAGAAGCCAGAAACTGGAAAGAAGGAAAACCTGTTCGAGTATTGCGCAGTTACAAAGGGAAGAAGTATTCAGAATACTGCCCTGAAGATGGCATTCGATACGATGGTCTGTATAAGGTTTGTACTCTATGATATGATTTTATGTGAACATTGTTTATTTGACATTTTAGTTAAACCTAATTCTCAATGGTATTTACATTTCTATATCTTTGAGTCTTTGCCTTTCTTTTCAATGGAATATCGCACATGTGGTACCTGGATTATTCTATTCCTTAACTTGGGCTGACACCAGTTTTGTCTGGGCAGAAGCCCAGAAAGTCTTGAGTTTTGATATTGTTGCTTCTGAGTCTCTTGTCCAAAAGTTTCAAAGATACCAACGGCTTAATAGCATAACTTACTGTATGATAATATCAACTAGTTGAGACATATCGAGAGTCTACATCAGCCATGTGTAGTTTAGTTCTAAGTAAAGTAGTTTTGAAACAGTAATCACACCAGGACACTAACATCAGGGTAATCTAAGTAAAGTTGTTTTGGAACAGTAATCACACAAAGACACTAACATCAGGGTAATCTAAGTAAAGTAGTTTTGAAACAGTAATCACACCAAGACACTAACATCAGGATAATCTAAGTGAAGTAGTTTTGAAACAGTAATCACACCAGGACACTAACATCAAAAAATACTCAAATAATGTGAGCTTCCGTCCATAGGTTTCCAATGGCTAAATTAGTAGCTATAATTATCATATGACTAGCCTTATGTCTAGTACTATTCTGATAATGGTAGCTTCTGTCCAATAATACTCTGATAATGGTAGCTTCTGTCTAGTAATACTCTGATAATGATAGCTTCTGTCTAGTAATACTCTGATAATGGTAGCTTCTGTCTAGTAATACTCTGATAATGGTAGCTTCTGTCTAATAATACTCTGATAATGTTGGCTTCTGTCCAGTAATACTTTGATAATGTTGGCTTCTCTCCTCCTTCACTTCTAAACACCAAATATGATCAAAACATTTTTCATTTTTAGAGCCAGATATTTCTTTATGGCTTTCTTAATGTTATGGCCTATGAAGTATGTTGTTCTGGAATTTTTCTGTAGTCACGAGTTATTAAATGTGAACAGTACTTTGTTTTAGTGATAACTTTTTTTTATACCTAAATTTCTTGAATTATTTTATTGTAGGATAATGGAGAGGAATTCTTCTACACGGGAAGTGGAGGCCGGGACTTGTCGGGAAACAAAAGAACGGCAGAGCAGTCTTGTGATCAGAGTCTCACAAGAATGAACAAGTACGGGTTTCTTAATTTCTTCTAGAAACCAAGTTATGGCAGACTTTTTTTTATATGTTAATTTGTTCAATTTTATCACAATATCAAATTATACCAAGTAGTAAGACGTGCAATTCTAACTTTACTATTAATTTAAATAATTCTCAGAAACAGTTGGATTCTTTCTCACCAATAATACTAAAATAATATGAGTTTTTATACAATAATACTCAGATAACATTGGCTTCCATTCAGTAATGCTGGCACTTCATTCCAGTAATACTCTGAAAATGTTGGCTTCTGTCCAGTAATACTCTGATAATGTTGGCTTCTGTCCAGTAATACTCTGAAAATGTTGGCTTCTGTCCAGTAATACTCTGATAATGTTAGCTTCTGTCCAGTAATACTCTGATAATGTTGGCACTTCATTCCAGTAATACTCTGATAATGTTGGCTTCTGTCCAGTAATACTCTGATAATGTTTTAGAGGTTCCTAATTAACAGTGATTCCTCACTACTTCAGTAATGCTACCAAATGTTGAATAAATTACTTTATAGAACCCCTAACATTAAAGGCACTACTGTAATAGATAGTCTTATATCTCAATCACTTTAAACACCTGCATTGTGCAGATTTTGAAAACAAAGTCAGTATTGAGTATTTGAATACTAAAAATAAAGGAGTGGTCAGGCTTGCTTTATGAAAATTATAATAATTGATAATGATAAAAAAACGTAATCATTATTTGTACTCAAGGATTGTGTAGTATGAACAAATTCTTTATGGGATATTTAACATCATTCTAGTGTTGACCAAGAATGAGAAATATTCAATTTATCAAGAAAGAATTGCATGATGTAAAGAAACTGAGTGTTTGTGTTATATACTTTCAATGTGTTCTGAAGTCCTGTTTTATTTAAGAGTGATGTATTCGGTGCTTATAGATACATAATTTATGTAAGTAAGATTTCTTCTGTTTTATGCACAGTAACCATCATCATGGTAATGACATTGTTTTAACTTCCACAATTCTAAATTTAGTATATGTGTAATAACACAATGGATACTTAATCATTGAACGAGAGAACCTGATTATTGCTCTGTATTGAAACTTCTGTCATCATACAATAGATGAGAGATTACCTGATGATGACCACACGAGTGGTTGAAATGTTGTTATAAAGTTAAAAGAAATAAAATAATCCACACAAAAGTTGTGTCTCTGGACTTTTATACAGTGGACTTCCTCTCCTTGTAACAAGCGTTGGTAACATGTTACTGAGTTCTTACTTGATACATTTGCATAAGGTCACACCAGCTCTACAACTGATTTATCCATTAATATAGATGAAGCTTGCTACCAAACAAAGCTGAAATTCATTATAAAGTATCAAAGTTTTGTTAATTCTGTTCTCCCAAGAAAATATCTTTATTAAACTGGACTTGCTTACAGTATACGTTTTCCAATTGTTATTCCTAATTTCACTTCATCGACACTTAGGGCTCTGAAGCTGGAGTTCATCGGCCACATGTTGCTGGTATTCATGGAAGAGAAAATGAAGGGGCATATTCTATTGTTCTAGCTGGAGGCTACGAAGATGATACAGTTAGTGCCAATTTTTCTTTGTTAATCTAGTCTCAGATAATCCAAGTCAAAGCCAGACCAAGACCACTTGACTTGGATTATCTGAGACTAGATGCCCTGGCTCAAGACCAC